TCTATCATGCCATGCCGCAGCCTGCAGTGGCCCTGCACCCAACATGGCAGCTTGCTCCGCCCAAGAACATTCCCCTGCAGGCCACGCATGCACAACTGAGCATAATATGGTGGTTCATTACATCAGCAGGTTGAAAAAGAAAAACGGTCCTTGGGCACGCCCAGCGGCGCATGCGCACGCACGGGTCTGTGCATGGCAAGAGGACGAACGAGTGATGCTGAGAGCTGGCCGTTGCCACAACCAGATAATTTGCTGAACAATTGGGAAACATAGTCAAAAGCACCGAAATGCGGCGCGCCGACCACTTCGGTTGGCTGCGCACCCAATCCATGGACGCTTCATTGTCGGGCAGGTTCATGGCAACCACAACGTGTCATTCAGGGCCAGGCATGCAGTGCGATTTGGACAGGCAAAATGTGCTGTGGGGCATCGAGTGTGCCGCAAAGAGTATCTGCAAGGTGTGAGAAAGGGAGCTGAAGCTGCTCAAGTGATGTTGGGTGCAAGCGACCGCGAATAACGCCTCACACGAGCAAGTGCAGGAGAATTCCTGCGTTCCATGGGGCACACCTCCCGGCGTGGCGTTGCAGGCATGAAGTGGCGCTGTCAAACAAAAGAGTTGAAAGCGCAAGCCCACAAGATTTCCTTACGCGCCCGCGACCACAAAACCGAGCTGCAACCCTTAGGCCAGCGTGCTATGGGGAGGCATCCACTCACACGATTATTAGCGGCTGCTGGCAGGCACGCGCGCTACGTGAGCGCGACAGAGTGCGCGCCAGCCTGCGGCCGCGTCCCGGTGGGCGGTGGGCAGGAACGTTGAGGCATGATCCCAGGTACAGCCAAAGTGGTTGGAGGCACGCGCATACGCGCGATCAGTGCAAAGGGATGTATGAGCCATTTCAGGTGCTTGCGTTTGATGCAAATTCAACTTGGAGTGATCAGCACTTTTTGTATGCGGAGGCGGCTCCAGTTGATAGGCTGCGGCGTACAGCGCAGAAACACTGCTTGTAAGGACGCCTCCAGTCGTGCATGGACCAGTCATTGAGGGCGCAGTGCCCGTTGTCCCCAGCAATACTCAGTTGCATTGCAGCCTTGACCACGCCTCGATCAAGGCTGCAGTGCAAGTGCTGGCCCTTCGAGCCTGGGCCAGCCAATCTTTGCTCATCAAGGCCGCGCAGCCGTCCCAGTGCCTTGTTGGAGCAATGTCCCCCTCATGCAGCGCTCAGCAGCCCCTTGAGCGCCGCCGCCACCTTCCTGCGCTCCTTGTTCAGCTTGTGCAGCGCGCCCTGGAGGCGCTGCGCCGGGGTGCGCGCGTCCGGCTTGCCCTGGCCGCGCTTGGCCCCAATGCCCTTGTCGCGGCCGACGATGGCGATGGTGGCGGTGGCGCAGGCGCGCAGAGGTGACGCACCCATCGCCGCCGAGCGGCTGCTGCTGCTGCTGCTGGTGGTGCAGCTGTTGGAGGCGCAGCCACCGGCGGCTGTACTGGCCGCGCCCGTGTTGTGCAGGCAGGTGCCGTTGTCAGCGCAGCAAGTGCTGGCGTCGCCGCTGCGGCTGACCACGTGCACGCACGAGTGGACGCGGCGCGCGTGCACAGCGCTGGACACAGCGGCCTTGAGGCCGGCGTTGCGGGACGCTGAGGAGCCGCTGGTGTGGCACCCACGAGCTGCGGCGCCGGCTGGGCGCCCACTGCAGCTGTGGCTGTGCCTCATGGCCTTGGTCGCCGCATGGTCCCGCGTCGGGCGTGGTGCCGGCACCGCAAAAGCCCGCGCAGCATCCAAGGTCATGGGCTCAGCATTGCCCACTCTCGACGCACCCGCACCACCCTCACCGCTGTACTTGCTCCTGCTGAGGCTGCGCGCAAGTAGCAGCTGCCTCGCCGCTGCAGTTCCGGGCGGGGCGCTGCCGTGGGCCGCTGCCCCCGCGTCCGCCTCAAAGCTCGCAAGGCGCGCCACCATTTGTGTGCGCTCCTCACTCCGGGAGGCCGCCTTGGCATGCGGCGCCCCCAGGTGGCCCCGCAGGTCCTCCTCACTCTGGGACATCTTGTACAAGGCACGCTCGGCGTGGTCGCCGCGCCGCCCCTCGGGGCCGGCGCGGTCGGCCTCGCGCCGCCGCACTGCCGCGCTCTCCAGCAGCGCCGCCTCCCGCGGCGTCCGCCTGCGCGCTCTGCGCCGCCGCCTCGGCCCGCGGGCGCGCGAGCGTGGACGGCTCGCCGGCGCCCGGCGCCGCCGCGAGCGCAGCCGTGGGAGTGGGGGCGGATGCGCCGAAGCACGCCTTCCAAAAGGCGGCTTAAGATGCCGCCTACGGCGGCTGGATGGACGCCGATGCTGCGGCCGCGGCCGGGTGAGCGG